TTCCAGTAAAATCACATTACGGATCATATGATTTACTATGCCTCATAACTTGATTTTACTGGAAACGTTCCCATATTGGTTACCAAATACTTGCAAGCAAAATCTAATCATACCTTGTAAAATCGTTTCATTCCTTTATTCATTCTCAGTATACATGTTTTGAGGTTTATTATTTAAGGAGTCCCAAAAGGACTGGACCAGAATGGATCTTGAAAAATCACTATTTCTTCCAGTCTTTTGTTTAATGAATACTCCAGCAAAAATTATATATAGGATTAAAGTTCCCAAAAAAATAGCTTGAAGATTCTTAATAGTTATAACTCCCTGGAATATCATTTTATAGATTATTACTATAGCACAGAAAAGTGCAAGTAGGAAGATGACTGAGGATAGCATTTTATTAATTTTTTTGTTTTAGAATTGATTGATTGTTTGATAGGACACTACGAGAAAATTATATTTTGATTAATATGAATTTTATGCGTGAAAGATTGATTGATTGAATTGGTAGTGTTAAAATATACACTATTTGAAAGAATTTTTTTTTCTTACAGATACTGTTACCCAACTAATGATTAGGCAGACTGAAACACGTAATTAATTGAGTAGCAGCAAGATTTAGCTCAATCTTTAATAAGTTTTGGAAGAGACTTCAGTAAATTCTGGTTTCTGTTGACTTCAGTATTCTTTCACAGTTAAGTTTCAGAATTGGTAAGTATGACGACTTCCAATTCACTTCAGGTGACTCATAATTTCTTAAGAATTTAAGAAATTACCTTGATGACGTTATAATAAATTATTATAACCAAGTAGCGATGTACTGCTTAAAGTATTTACAATATCAAATACTTTAATTCAGTTGATAACATTTAAGTAATTTAGAATTTCACTTAAACCAAGGGTGACACTAAGCAGGGTTGATGACATTAAGCAATTTACAATTACTTAACCAAGGTTTTCACAAAGCAAGTTGTTAACGTTAAGTAATCTAGTATTACTTAACCAAAGGTTAACACAAAGCAATTGATAACGTTAAGTAATTCAATTATTACTTAACCAATGGTTGACACAAAGCAGGTTTTGATACAAAGCAATTTGTTAAGAGACAATTTAGTAAAGAGTTTTTATTAACTTATAAAATTGGCTTTCTAAATTCCTATCGATACATGATGAAAAACTCAGCTTATTTATAATAGAATTTCTACACTAAATTGCTATCTATTGCATAAAACTATGTAATGATTCCCTCATCTTTTCTATGTAATGTTGTTGTAATAATTGAGTAATGACTACCTAATCGCTATCCAATAGTCCTTTTAACTATGATATATATATATATAAAGAGATGTAAAGAATATAATTATATTGTTCTTAAACTATTGCTACATTCTTATACTTAGCCTTTGACTAGTTTCTCCTTAAAGTTTCTATTTGGAGTTTCTAGTTTAGAAGGTTACGTGTGTCGTCATGGGCTAATGATCTATTACTTCATTTCTTTATTAACCGATTTGGTTAATTTCACAGATCACCTTTTGCCGACTATTGTGTCATTGATTTTTGCAGATCAATTCACATGATGATTATTTGCAGATCACTTTACTGCGTCACATTCCCAATTTCTTGAAGATCATTTGGGTTACAATACCTATAATTTACCCAGCTTTTTATAATTATTATTTCTTCTACAGTTGATCACTAGGGACTTGCAGTTGATCATTAGGGGAGAGCCAGAAATTACATTATTTTAAAAGGAGGAGGAGGGGTTTAATCTATGATGACGTTCCACAAATTTTATATAAGTTAATTATAAATTTCTTAAAATAGATGATGATAAGGAGAAGGAGAATTCACTAATTTAGACCCCAGTTTCCTATTGGTTCATGTATTTATGATTTCTGATTGGTCAAAAATCGATTATATCAAATCATGTAACAATCAGTAACTCGTAAAATTTCCACGTTAAATTTCACGTCAAATTTCCTATTCCTTATTGACGTACGTTAATTTTAACCTCTAAAAAACGAAATTATTTTTTTTGACATTAAATACATGAATATTAAAATTTAACATATTAGCGAAAGTAATATTATTTTATTAAAGTAAACATTATTAAAAATATTTTGCATGCATAAACAAAAGTTACAGATTAAATGAAAGGTGAATTAGAATTTGTTTTGCCTTTTAAATCTCACATTTGAAGAGATTCTTGGCTTATCATCATTATTAATTTGTGGCACAATATCAACTCTTGCAATTCGTGCTCTTTCTATTTGAGCAGCATTTATTAGAGTTGTTCGCAAACTGCGAATATCTTGGATCTTTTTATTTTACTATTCTGCAGTAATCATAGCAAAGTCTTCTTGTAATTTTAACATCTCGTTATTTTTATTATCATTGAATTTTTGAATAGAACCAATATTGTCAGAAGGAATGGGTGATCCTAAAACTGAAAATGTTCATTTTTGAACATTATCATCATGAATATAAACTTGAACCAATATTGCGAATATGTGTTTGCATGCCAATTGTCGTATTTTAAAATCACGACAAGTGCAAATGAATGAAGAAGTATTTAATTCATTTTCATTAAAATCTTTCTTCTGAACAGTATATTCAACATCGTCATTTATCATAGAATGAACAGTCCAAATATCTGGCTGTAATTTGTATATATCCTTTTCGTTTATTTTTATAATTCCTATAATCTTCTGAATATGTTGTTGTCATTGCCTTATATTTATTCGCCTGATTTTCAATTCATTAAAAAAATTTGAAAAATTAATATCTCAGAGTATGATTTCTACAAGAAGATAAACTTTTCCATCAAGCTGACATCTCAGATGCTCTCTCATATATGTATACTTCAATTTATGATGAAAAGCCTCAATCAAATTATTAGTGTCAATCATATCTCTAGCATTACCTCTAACGTATACCATCTATATATCGTATTTTTGTTTTCACCATCGCTCAAAGTAACTAGCAAAGTTTTCGCTGATTCAACACCCATTTTTCACCATTTGTTAATTACTTTTGTTAGTTGTTCCTGAGCTTTTATGTCATTCCACCCTTCTGTTTTCATTAGCTGCCAAAGATCATTCCAAATAATTGCTTTATTTGGATCAATATTCAAACCATATTTATGGTCAAGTTTTCTGCGCTAAGAATGCAACACATGAAAATGGCACAGTAACACTAAACTGTTTGGAAAACATTCTTCAACTGCCTTAATTTCCTCACCTGTATCATCAACCATAAAGATATCAGGACGTCATTCAATATGCTCTTTCTTTAAGAAGGTAAGCCATCTTTTCAATGTCATTGATCATTTATATTTGCTTATCAAAAATGCTATCGGATATCCGCTTTCCATTTCTAGATGCTGAATAATAAGAATAAATAGATGGTAACCATGGTGGTTCATCCTATTGGTACCATCTAAACATAATATCCTTGCAAAATTCATTAATTCAAGCTGATCTTTGATTGGAATGCAAACATAAAACCTATAAAACCTATTTTATCTGCCTTATTATTTCGTTCAAATAAATAATTGCTGCCTGTATTGGTTAGCTTAACCTTCCATTTTTTCAAAGATACTAACTCATCTTGATCAAAATAAGCAAGCGTTTTCATTCTATTATACACGATTGCATAAATATCATCTCTTGTTACTAAGCCATCTCGTAAAGTTTGAATATCCTGTGAATGCTTTTCAGAATTACTACATTCCTCTTTTACCCGATCCTGAAGTTTGATTGCTCTAAATTGTAAGATCTTATGTATGCTGAGACAATCAAGTCCTTTAAGCACACGATGCTGAATAAAGTATCATATATTTTCAGAAAGTCGTAATGAACACAAAACTGCTAAATGATCAGGATAATGGTTACATGTTTGTAATAATGCTTTAAGACTACTGTTAATGAGTTAATATGAAGTGCGATGTGAATATAACTTTACAACTGCACTTCTTTGTTTCCTTTTGTTCTATTCGTAGCTTTTGTTTGGATTCCCCCCAGCGACGCTTTTGTATTATTTAGAACGATAACATAACCACCGCTCTGTCCATTTATATCTTTTTCTAGCACCACCCAATTGGTTTCACATTCGAGACGAACATAGCTAAGTACCGCTTTTTCAAGACTTTTAATCCAATTTATATATTCTTCTACTAGAAATAAATAGTTTTGAATCTTTCTGTTTCAGATTTTCTGTTAAGTACTGTACTATCATTCACTGTTTCCCACATGTGGCCGTCACCATCTGTCAAATCCAATATTGAATCAAGCATATTATTAATATCATTGTCACTTATATCCATATTTATTTCAATTTCATCAACACCTTCATTGATATCGAAAATTGTATTGATATCGGGTGGTATTGACATCGTAAATGGCGAGTTTTAGTTATCACACGATAAAATATGAAGAATACGATTTTGAAATCAAAAAAAAACTAAAATAATCGCAAAGAATGTAAATATATATAAAAAGCCACGCGTTTTCATTAAAATACAAAAAACTAACAAAGTTAGTAATATCTGATGGTCAAAATCAATTTCTCAAATAGAAAAAAAAGCTTTTTTTATAAAAAAATATTTTCTAGAGAAAAAAATTTTCTTGATGATATATTTAAAAGAAAATTTTTCTTGAGAAAATTAAAATATTTTTACTTTTTTTTAGTTTACGAATCAATCAATCATTTCGATAACGCTCTATGTAACAAAAGGACGGAAATTTTTACGGGTTTCGTAAAATTTCGTAAAATTTACCGGTTAAATCAATAAACACGTGATCTAAACTAGCCAATAAGGAATCGTAAATACATAAACCAATAGGAAACTGGGGTCTAAATTAGTAAATCGACTTTTTATACTTAATTGCGTTAATATTGGCAGGTTAAGGTTAGTTTATAACAAAAATACCATAACTCTACGACTTTCCGTATCACTCATCCCCGGGCTGTATTAAATAAACGCTTTAAATCGTTACACAGCTTTCATTATTACGAGTGTTACACGTGAAATTATGTTACACATGATTACACAGCTTGACAGATAGAATGGGACAATTAAATCATTGATTTATTAAGAATTCGGAGAATCGAACCCGATATAATCTTTATCTGACTGACGCAATAATTATTATTTATTAAACTATCAGCATGATCTTGTCTGACTGACGCAATAAACTAGTTATTGGTTATGGTGGATATCACCCCCCAACCAATAACTATTATATATATATTAATTGTACTTTTGGTATACATTTTGACAAATAATATTTTTGGGAGCTTTTCTTCCAGTCCAATTTTTAAATTGCCATACACCTTGCTCGATTAGAACTTGTATCCCTTCGATACCTATCCATCCATTTTCATCACCTTTAATTAATAATTTGGTTCTTCTTGGCTTATAAGCCATTTCAACTATTACTCCTCCTTTACCAAAACTAAAAATTTCATTAGGGATTACTAAATTAGATGTTGCGGGAATTGTAGATACAATAATTTGGGGTGGTTTCGGAATCGGTTCGGAAAGTGATGATAAAGGAGCAATTCCATATTTAGGAAAATTATCGATTAATTCGGTAATCTTAGATTGTGTACGATTATATACATAGATTGTAGAGACCCCTAATTGATGTAAAGCATATAACGCAGCACGAGAAGTCCCACCAGCACCAATAATTAAACCTGTCGTCTTGGAATTAATTTCAATCGAATCCTTGATTGAATGAAAAATTCCTAACCAATCCGTGTTATCTCCAATTAATTTACGTCCATTTTTGCTTTCATCGACAAGGATTGTGTTCACTGCTCCTATTAATTTAGAATGTTCAGTGATTTGATCCAATAAAGGGATAATACTTATTTTGTGGGGTATTGTCACAGAACCACCTCCAAATTCCACATCTTCGATAATAGGCTTAACCGCTGTTACATCTTCAGATTCAAATATATCATAATAATGTGGTAAGCCTAAAACTTCGAATCCAGTGTTATGAATTGTAGGTGACATTGAATGAGCTATAGGCGTACCAAAAAGATAATATTTTTTCTTTGGTAATTGACCAATTAAATGAAGGGATTTATGAATTTCAGCAACAGAAAGTTGACCAGGAGCAGCTTTTGATGGTAATAATGGATGTGTAACAGGTGTGAGATGTTGATTCAATATACGCGAAAGTTGTCCATCGGCTCCCATGTTAATTGCAATGACAGGTTTATTGGAATGTCGCGAATCGACAAAGTTTTGTAATTTGAAATTATCAGTGAGGCAATTCGCGCGCCCGATTATCTTAATGATGTCACCATATTCTTGAGCGACTTTATATCGTCGTCTAATTTCTTCGCCATCCCATTGCATTGTGCCAGATATATCATGCCAAGAAGCAATAATTTTAGTATTCCCCTTCTTCTTGATCAATCTTAATATTAATGAAGGAGACCAACCGATTTCTATATCTACATACTCACATCCCCACCTAATTGCATGTTCAAGGAGCAAAAACATATCTTTCTCTTGTGTATCGGGATATTTTCCACCTTGACCTTGTGATCTTACTGTAAAAATAATTGGAAGTGGTGAAGAACGTCTCAAAATTGCTAATTGCTGGGAAACATATTCGACAGATGGTAAGCTGCCATTTTGAGACAGCAAATCTACCCTTAATTCAATCGCGTCCACTCCGTGAGTAATAGTAGGGATATTTTGTATCGCGGGGGTCACATCCGGAAAAGTTAATGAAACAAAAAAAGTACGCTTTGTCCTTTCAAAAAAATCAACAGTTTCAATTAGATTTGTATCTTGACCAACAATAAATTTTAAAAATCTCATCATCTCTTTCTCATTAGTTATTCCATTGATATTGATGTTGCTGGTATTGATGCTATTGTATTCAAAATCAGAACATTCCTTATACCAAAATTTACGTCTATTCCAGACATCAATTAACTCTTCATTAAACGATGGTCGCGTAACATCTTTATTTAAATATCTGATTATATCATTTATATCTCTTACAATATGAACGACTTTTCCATGATTTTGTGAATGCTGTTTCAAACGGTCACGAGACGAGGGGGTTTCAACTATACCTCCACCGCATGCTATAATATATCCTGAAGAATGCGTATTTAATAATGATTTGAAAATTTCGGTCTCTTTAGCGCGAAAAGCTTCCCAACCTTCTTTCTCAATAAATTCGGCTATCGTAGTTGATAAAGTAGATTCCAAGTGATGATCCATATCTAAGAATTCTCGATTTAATGCTTTGGCAGCGGCTTTTCCGAGCGTAGATTTGCCAGCTCCACGCATTCCAATAAAAATAATGCTGACATTTTTCTCATTCTGTAACGTTAGCGAGTCAATTTGTTCCGATGAATCATGATGTGATGAATCAATATCGATTCCAATTAGATTAATACCTAGATTTGTTTCTAAATCATCCCACCAACCGGGCCACGTTTTCTCCACACATTTTTTTTCTCGAATGATCGTTCCATCTGGAATAACACATCCAAGTACGCTAAAACTCATAGCAATACGATGATCATCATAACATTTTACACCATCTATAGGACTTTTGAGGGATTGAATTTTAGATCCATGTATTTGAATACCATCAGGAAGTTCAGATGCGACTACTCCAAACTTGCTCAACTCATGTACCATTGCCGCAATTCGGTTACACTCCTTAACGCGTTGATTAGCAATTCCAGTAATGCGAGTTACACATTCTTCTCCCTTATCGTTATTAGTGACGGCGGCCAAAACGGATGCAGTTAAAAATGCGTCGGTCATGGTTTCCATATCAATATGAGGTAATGGACGCAATGATCCGATAATGGGCCCTTGGACCGTAGTACTTGTCTCGGTTTGAGTTACGATGCAACCCATCGGTTTTAATACTTTGACAGCAAATGCGGCATCGCCTTGAATAGAGGAAGCCCCAATATTTGGAAGAGTGCATTTGATTCCGGTAATTGCGGCTACAGCTAAAGGGTAAGTAGCAGAACTAGCGTCTGATTCGATTACATACTCGCTAGGATTGGTGTACTTCCCTTGTGGAATACAATAAACATCACCTTCAAGTCGTTCAACTTTAATACCAAATGACTCCATCATTGCTATCGTCATATCGATATAAGGTTGAGATATGACTTGACCTCCAGTTAAACTCAACGTCACCAATTCCGAAGCGTAAGGTGCGCTCAACAAAAGGGACGAAACGTATTGAGATGAAATAGATGCAGCGAGATTGATTTTACCACCTTTGAGTTTTATTTGTGAGGGAATTATTTCAATTGGAAGAGATCCTTCCTTTTCGACATAACGAATCTGAGATCCATTTTCACGAAGTGCGTTAACTAAAGGACCGATTGGACGTTGTTTCATACGCGCATTCCCGGTTAAGATTGTATGCTTTTTAGTTTGGGTAGCTGTGTCGGCTGAAACCAAAGTACAAACTGTGGTAAGGAATCTTGAAGCTGTTCCCGCATTCCCAAGGTAAAGTTCATTATCGGGAATTTGAAGGTTACCACCACCACCTGTTACAACTAAAGTTTCGCCATTATCCTCCCATTCAAACCTCGCTCCCCCTAAATTTTGTAAAGCAACCAACATAACTTGGGTATCATCCGAATGGAGCAGACCTTTAAGCCTGCAAGTACCTTCACCTAAAGCTGCAAGGACCAACGCTCTATTTGAAATAGATTTTGATCCTGGGGTTTTCATCGTAACATGAGTTGATGAAATATTTGGAGAGGATTTAATGGGTAAGACCATGATTTCAGGCGACAATATTTTACGAATTACAGAATCCGAAATCGCGGTTGCCTTTTTCTCATAAGTATTTCCAATGGATGAAAGCATGACTATTCTTTTTTGATCTCCTTGATTCTTCTTGTCAACTTTCATAATTTCCATTAATCTATCAACTGTACAAAATTTTTTGCCAACCAAATCCAAAACTTTCTTTTCATCCAATGAAACTGGCAAGCCATAGCTATGTAAAACTCTATATAATCTACCAACAGCAACTTGATTAAGGTAACCAAGATTCCTAGCGATTTCTGCCTCCTTGATCATTCCAATTGAAACGCATTCTCCATGAAGTAGTTCCGGAGATAAAATAGCTTCAATAGCATGACCAATCGAATGACCGAAATTAAGTAAACCACGAAGTCCACTTTCTCGTTCATCATGTGTTACCACGTAAGCTTTAAATTGAGCCGATGCCATAATGACGGATAACAGTAAAGATTGTGATGGAGTTCGAGTTGCAAGCGTTGCACCTAACAAATAATAAAGTATAACATAAATTGTTTTTAAAAAAATAAAATTTATTTTATTCTAATAATTTTGACATACCTTGAAATGAAATAGTTCTTTTAGGGTTTAATACTGCGTCACGAATACTTTCTACGCCATTTTCCAAATTAATAAAATCCATTTCATTACTAATTGCCGCAGTTTTGATAACCTCAGCCATTCCATTAATAAATTCTCTTTCAGGCAAAGTCTCCAAGAAGATTAAATCAATGTAAATCCTTTTCGGTTGCCAAAAAGATCCAACCAAATTTTTCCCATGTGGAGTATCAACAGCTGTTTTCCCACCAATTGATGAATCCACCATTGCAAGTAAAGTTGTTGGAATTTGTACAAAAGGGACACCCCTCATGAAAGTAGCTGCGACAAATCCAACCAAATCACCAATCACACCACCACCCATCGCTAAAATACAAGTATCCCTTGTACATGCTTTACTAAGAAGAAAATCTTCAATATCAGCTTTTGTATCTCGTGATTTTGATTGTTCACCTGGTGGAATAATATAAGTAATCAATCTTGATTTCGAAGCATTTTCACCTTTAGATAATGTTATTTCTGAAGAGATTAAATTAAAACTATCAACAATTTTTGAAAGATAAATTGGTGCAAGATTATTGTCAGTGATGATCACATAAGTTGATGAAGGAATAGTCGTTATCAGGTCTCGTAACATTAATTTCGTTAAATGAAATCCTAAAATGATTGATTCATCATTCAAAATAGAAACTTTGACTACATCTGGTTCAGGTTGTTCCGATAAAATTGTCATGATTATCGGAAAAAAAAATTAATTTTTTTTTTTTGAGAGAGTTTTTGATCAATAATTATTTATCACATTTATAACCAACAATGATTAACTATTATTAGTCACAATCATCAATCATTTAAATTTCCATGATAATCAATTATTTTGGGCTTTGAAATTTTGAGGCTTAAAAACAAACAAACACTTTTTTTTTTTTTTTTATTTTATCTTTTTTTTTATTACCATACAAAAAATAATAATTGCGCCATCTCTATATATTTTACATTTGAACTAAAAAAATACACGTTTTCTGATATATATATATGATATATATATATATTAATTATAAAAAATATATTTTATAATTATTGACTACAAATATATATATATATATATATATATATAAAAGAAAAAAAGAAAAAAAATTTAAATATATACAGATATACTGTATATATATATATATTTATTTATCTCATAAAAACCTCGATTCTTGGAATCGCTTTATCAACGACTTGTTTTTTCACAATGACCCAAACTTCTTCATTGCTGAGTTCCGTCCATACTCCCGATTTATTTTTATACCACATCTTATCCCACTTCCAACCGAATCGTTGTTTAATAATAAATTGGAAATGACTAAATATACCCTCAGATGAATAAATAATCGCGCGTTTATGGGAAGGGCAAACACAAACAACATACATCTATGAATTTCAAAAAAATTATTATCATGATTTTCATTTTAACAAAATAAAATAAAATAAAATAAAAGCACCTACATCGCGTTTTCTTATTGGTTTGTTATAGCAAACCGGCATTACATCTTGTGGGTCACTTGTAGGACCACTTGGAGGATTGTTTTGTGTCATTGTATGTACTTTGTTTCTTCCATTAGGAGGTCGTGAATTATTATAGTTATCGTTATTTCTTCTCCTAATTACAACCTTTAAGGTGCATATTATAAAATGAGGTATTAATAACAATAATAAAAAATAATAAATTTGAATTTTCGGAACTACAAACAATAACACTTACATCGTCATCCCTTGGGTATTTTGCCTGCTGGATCATCTTCTTGACCGTACTTTCCACAAGATTAAAATGCTTAATGTCGGTGCCAATCGGTTTGAGGGAAATCCAAGAAATTCCGGTTAACTTTCCACCCGTGGGGTCGTTGTCCTTTGTATTACCTTTATACTTGTAAGGATATCCTTCCGGATGAGAATAATACTAAAAGTACATAAATTTAAGCATTACTAAGCAAACAAACAGATAAATAATTATATATATTGTAAATAAAAATAATTACAGATTTAACAAAGTCGGATTTAAACCGAAAATTAATCGAGTAATCAATCGTAATTTTAAATTCTTTGACAGCACCTATTCCAAATAAAATCTCATCTTTCATGTTATTCAAACAAATCGAAACTTCTTGGGATTTCTCATGTAAAAATAGAAACATTTTGCCATCAATATCCGAGTTAATTGACCGACTTTTGGAGTTAAAATAGATTTGTTTTATTGGTATTTTGATAGCGATTTTAAAGGCATATGGTTGCTTTGCGGGAGGTGGTAAAGAAGAACCTTTTATTTTAAAAGGATAATAAACATTTATTTGTTTATTTATTGCCGAATTTATTTATTTGAGAGGGAATATATTTTTTTCAAGTTACCGTGAACCCACTCAATATTTTCCTCCTCGACGGTATTCGCACCGTCACACTCAGCGGCTTCCATTACTCGATTTCCAGAGTAACAAAAAGATTTATGAAATGTTAAGATATTGAAAATAAGTTGTATTAACAGTTTTGATGTTTTGAGAGTAACTTGGGAACATGGGGAAGATACAAGAAATTTCTCCGTATTTATAACCAAGTTGTTATTTGATGATCATTTATAAATTTAGTAAGGATCATTGATCAAAAATCTTGTATTCGTAGATGTCACTTTATTAAATATAAATTAATCACTTTGTTACTGCAATAGTATTTTATTTATTTATTTTATTTGTTTGTTTAGAAAACAATGTGATCAAACAATAATTTAAAGAAACAAATCTTGACAACTACAATATTAACCTTCATAAGAATTTGCAGCGTGTTTTGGTACAAATGAAAAACTATCAGGAGCAGGTCCTAATAACATTTCACTGAAATGAAGAATATTCCAAAAAAGAATTGAATGAATTGATAAAACAAAAACATATTAAACATATTAGATAAATTGAATCTTACCTAATTTTAACCCAATCTTTACTATTTGGACTCGCCATTAATGTTTCCAATTCATCTCTACCATGAAAAATAGGTGGACGTTCATTTATACGTTGTGGCAATACCTCAAGTAATCCAACAGGAATATATCTATAAATAAAAAAAAAGGTGTGAATAAATCCCATCCAGACTTTGTAAATTCCGAAAGAATTAAATACCTATATAAGAAACTCATCCATTCACATAAAAATCGTCGGGTTGAATTTATTCCCTATAATTAATAAATAATATAAGAATTTGAACTAGACCAATCTACTTACAAAACGTAGAGAAACTTTCAACTAACAATTGTATCAGAGCCCCAATGCTCCATTCCGTAATCACAAAATCTTTTCAATATATCAAATCTTTCCTTGGATGAAATGTCATAATGCCGTTTAGATTTGATCTCATCAAAAATCCAGGGTTTAATCTGAAGAAATTAAATCAATAATTAATTAAACAAATTTAAAGGCAAAAACATGACAATGTTTAGCAAAATATACCAAAGCTCCACGTCCAATCATGATTCCATCAACGTGATCTTTTTCAACGTGATGGTAATAATCTTCATATCCCATTACATCTCCGTTGCCTAATATAATAATATTACGGTTGCTAGAATAACTAATTTAATTATAAATAATTTTATTTGAAAAGATTAACGAGTTACCAAAGAAAGCCATTTCATTTGCTTGAAGAGCGACTTCAGAAATGTAATCCCAATCGGCAAATTTTGTGTATCTTTGCTGACGTGAACGACCATGTAACTAAAAAATTAAAAAGGTTCTATAAATTCGAGTTTATATTTATCGAACTATAAATAAAATTAGAACAAACCGTAGCCATTGCAACTCCCTAATATTTATTTTAAAGATAAAGGTAAAACGAAGAATTAATATCTAATAATCATAAAAGATAAACAAAGAGAAGCCATAATGTAGATACCCAATTCCGAAATTTAGGAACCAATTTATGCGCAAGTGGCGAATTATCTAATATTCCGGTACGCAATTTCACTGTTACAGGAATATCCATAACCTAATCACAAACTGATAATATAATTAATGTCATAAAATAAAAATAGACAAATAGTAACATCGATTTACCTTATTCAACCCCTTAAGGATTTTTCCTAATCTTCCATCATGCATCAATAGTTTACTTCCACATCCCTATAAAAAATATATGTGAGAAAAATTCTCTCTCCAATAAAACCTTCAAGTCCACTCAGTTAATAAACTTGTAGACATTTAACCTTATTAAAAATCAGATCGATAGGACATCCCAGATTTACATCAACAAATTCAGCTTCAATCTCATTATTTAACAACTCGGCACACCTTACAAGATGATCAGCTTTTGCCCCACAAATTTGAACCCCAAAGCAATCTTCACTAATATGCCTTTTCAATAAGGCCCATTCACTTTGCTGTCCTTGTAATAAGTTTATTGCCATTGCCATTTCACCACACGTTATGTCAGCTCCAAATTCTTTACAAATACGTCGGAAAGGTAAATTTCCAACCGTTGTAAGCGGTGCTAAATATAGCTTGTTTTTAAATGTTATCTTGAAAATTATTTTTTAAAGGAAAAATTAATTGACAATGTTTAACTTAAAAAAAAAATTTTTTAAAAAAAATTATAAACAAATTACCTTTTTCTTTTCACACATACGTAATGGCACATCTGGAGATTCTATAAATTCTTCTATTTTAATATCCTCTTTAGATTTTGTATCAATACTTTCTTCAATATTTCCCTTCTCTTCACTATTAGAATCATTATGTTCAATTTTCCTCTTTTTCCTCTCGTTTGTAATTTCTTCTTTTGAATCAATGATTTCGTCAGGACTTTCAATTTTCAAAATATTACTTTCGTTCGTATCCTCTACTTTATCCTGGATTTCTTCTGAAGGCTGATTAAGTTTAACATCAAGATTTAATCTTGCTTGCCTATTTGCTTTTTCTAAATTTTTCTGTTGTTCAATTTCCTGTCTCATTTCTGCAAGGTATTCATCGGCTCTAGGAAATTTATACTATAATTATAAAAACATTATTAGAATGAAATAAAACGTATATACACATAAAATCATATAATATCACAATACCGTGTGTGTCCTGAGTTGTTTTTGAATATTAATCGATTGATTGTTTTTTTCTTCAACAAGTATTCTAGAAGATGCTTCTTCATTTTCAATCAACTTTCCATCAGGTGACAAATGAGCCTTTAAATAACGACATTTGTATCCAAACCGACATCTTTAAATTCATAAGAAATGGTAGAATTATAATATTGCAACATAATAAAAATAATGTAATTACAAATACATACTTTCCAAATCTCTCAAAATTTACACATCTATCGCCTAGATCCTCTCCTTTGATTTTTAAAAATGCTTCTAGATCATGGCTGTACTTGCAACTAAAAATAATTAATTATGTATTTTTAAAGATGTTCATACGATAAAATAATTGGAACATTTTAATTACCGGGACTTACAGATCATTGACACATTGCTCATTTAAGGAGGTTTTATGACACAACTATAAAGATGAAAATGAGAATTATGGACGGAAATTACATAATTAACAATAAATATGAAAATACTAACGCGAATTGGCTCTGCAAATGTTTTATTTGCTCGTTCCTTATTTTGCCCTCGCTTTCTTGTAACACGAGGTTTCTTCTTTACTGGATCCTATGAACAAATTAAAAATTTAATGATAATACATGAAATAAAAAAATTTGGAATTTTGATCCCTTACTTCATTTCTAGAATTCTCTCCTTCATCACCAAAAACAGGCTGTGCAACACTCTCTTCACACTCTACCTCTTGTTTACGGATAATAAATCTAACGATTTAAGTATTTGGTTTATTAAGTTATATATATATGAAGTTATATATTATTGAAGAATCGCAAGTTCATTACTGAAGAAAATTACTCTGCTTTGACGGGAGCTATGCCACGTCTTTTCGAAAGATTATCTGCATTCATGTTTTTTTTATAAACCGTATTTATTGAATTGGGAAATTAAATATTTGCTAATGGTATTTAATCGAAATAAAATAAATTGGAAAAAAAAATTTCAGATCAGATCTATATTTTAAAGTTTTACTTAATATCACCAAGTTGGGATTCACCAATGTAAGATCAGCTGGTATAATATAACTGATACATACATAATGTGGATCATCGCAATTTTGGAAATTCTTATACTTGAAATTTGAAAACGAGAATCTTGAAAGGTATAATATAAAGTCTTGAAGAAAAAATTTTTTTATCTATAATTTTTTTTGTAAACTGTTTCAAAATCTATCATAGTATAATTTAATCTTAAAATTATGATCCTGTGACAAATTATCGATATTTGGATCAAAAGGTGGGTTAAAATGTTTCTTCTTGATTCCAAATTTTACTCGGAAATAATTAATGCATGCATTTATATAGAACCAATGGCACGTGGTTTGAATAACATAGCATACATATCATTATGTATACTAAGATTTTGGTGTGCTACTTTGCCTGGATATGTTCATCCCGATGAATTTTTCCAGTCTCCCGAAATTATGGGTGGTTTGTATTATATTTATCATCATGAATTTGAATTATAATTTCTGAAATAACAAGATACGTATTTATTTTACAGGAGATGTTCTCGGATATGAAGTTTTCAGACCTTGGGAATTTGTTCAAAGTCCCCAAAGTAGATCGATAGTTATACCGTGAGCATTTAAACTGATGTTAATATTTAGGCTTGATTTTATCGTGTTCCATATAATAATAATGGAATTTTACTTCAGAGCCATGACTATAGGAATTCCATTTAAAGTTTTAAAGGTATTAAACACGTGGGCAACTAAATTTGGATTTAATGGTAATTAAAAGTCGATACGGTTAATTTGTGTTTGGAGCATCATTTTAATAACATTATATTTGATTAGATATATTAAATTCACATTCCATATTTGTAACTGAGAGGATTTCAATTTTTTTTTTATCCTTCGGAATAGGTATGATTTAAACTTAAAAAAATTTTTCTATTAGGTTTTAAGAATTTTTAATAATAAAACTCATAACATTATTATAGATTACACCGCTTATACGATAGCTCAGTTATTTTATCCTAATAATGCTTTACAGTCATTATTAGTATTTGCGTCTTCCTATGTAGTTCTTATCTTTAATACTCGACCATTTTCAAATTCTGTTGAATCCATTTTATTAGCACTTGCATTTTGCGTATATGTGAAAGGATCAACTCCAAAATTTCCATTACGACAACAGCTTGGAGATTCTTCTACTAACAGAGTACGAAATTATGATTAAAAGAGCCTTGTATTCCTTGTATCTTGTATTAAAAAAAATATATATATATTCCATGTAGGATGAATTTCCAGTAAACCTCGCGTTCCTATTTGGTTGCATTGTGGCTTTGGGTTCATTCACTAGGATTACATTCATTTTATATGCATTTCCTATCGGATTGGCTTTCCTCCATCATATCTTTTTTTCTGCAAGGGCCCAAGGAAAATCTTGGTGTGTGTATTATGTAATTAGTTGATGTAATAATATTTTTTTATATACATATTATGTTTCAACAAAATCTTCCACTTATTAGGCACAGTAAATTCTCTGAGCTCTTGCCAGCATGTCTAGGGTTAATCATAACAACAGTAATATGTGTATTAGTCGATTCTTTGTACTTTGGCACGTTAAATATTACATTTGGTGGGATGCTTTTCAATAAAGATCATATATTTGAATTATTGTGTAATCCAATGAAATTTATAGAGATTGGATGGCATGTATGTATAATTCATTTCATAAAAAAGAATTCGAGACAAAGACTTTATTTAAACCTAATTTTTTTCTTGACGATAATCTAGGGTAATTTGATCATCACTCCATTGAATAACTTTGCATATAATATGGATTCAAAAAATTTATCTGAACATGGACTTCATCCTAGATATTTCCATATTTATAATTTTGTATTGTTGTTTGGACCACTTACATTATTAACCATGAAAGATCTTAAGTTTAGTGCAAATTTTATGAGATTGACATCTAGAAGAACATATAAAACTGGTAAGGTTCGACAATTAAATATCGTGTTGATGATGATGAAAGAATGAGATTGAACCTAAATAAAAAATTCGTTTCCACAAGAAGAAATATTATTTAACTCGACTTTTTCTTTTTTTTTTTCAATTCAGTGATCGTCTATAGTGGATTGTGTGGATTTATGTTTTTATCAATAATCCCACATCAAGAAGCAAGATTCTTGTTACCACTTTTACTTCCTGTTATAATTGTACCATCAGATAGACTTCATAGGCTTCATATGCCATTTTGGGTAAGATTGTCATAACAAACGGTTGTTGCTTGTAATAATTATTTATTAATATTTTTTTTTTGGTTTGTTTTACAGACTATTTGGGCTGTATTTAATCTATTGTTTGTTGCAATATTTGGAGGATTACATCAAGCGGGAATCGTTCCTATAATGCAAAAATTACAAAATCTATCATTAAAGTTTAGAAATTGTGATGAACTTCCTGGATATTTCCAATGTGAATTAGGAAAGAAATTAATTCGACCAGGTATAATTGACTATTCAAAAGATTGATGATAATTCTCAATTTTACTTTAATCAAAATATTATATATATATATATATATATTTTACAGTAAGAAATCCATCTGAAACTCTTACTACCAATATAATATTTTACAAAACGTACATGCCACCACGTCATTTACTTGGTTATCCCAAATCATGGAGAGGTAATTATTTGACATTTGATTTTCAATTTAATAATATTTTTGAATTAATAAATTTTCTTTCATTTTAGAAACAAATATTCAAGTTAACGTTTATGATTTGGCCGGTTCTCCATTAAGTGACCTTGAAAATCTAATAACGAAACAAGTACCATCTAAAAGTTCTTTGACTGAAAATTTATGGAGAGGTCATATCATTTTTCAACAGAACGAAAATTCAAACAGCTCAAGAATATTTGAAAGGTATCTCATTTAAATCGCAGCGATCTCTATTTTTTTTTTTTTAAAAAAAAAGATTTTTTTTTTTAATTATATGTATATATTATTATTATTCATAGAACATTATTAGTAACACCATCCACAACGGACTTTTCACCTCTCTTTATTGGAACTTATAATGAATTGACATCAATCGGAGATGACGATAATAATGGTAAAAAAAGAATGAAATTAAAATTAATTGAACAGCATTGGCCTCATGTTAATTTTGATCATCTAGATAGAATATTTGCGAAGGGAATGTATTTAAATGTTTATTTACTTGTTAGTTTTTCGGATTAGATATGAGATTATATATACTGAATCTTTATTATATATATATATATATATTTTAAAAAAATGACATTTATGCAAGAAAATTGTTGATATTATTTATATATGTATATGTATATGTTCGTATTGTATATAAAATACACGATGATATTAGTCCTTGTCCAAGATTAAGAAGCGAAATAAAAAAGAATGACATGATTAAGCATCCGGTGAAAACGATTCAAAAAATAATAATTAATCATGGTTATCATTTGTTTAAAATTTGAAAAACTTCATAATCTTCTACACAAAAATCACCAATAGTAAAAGTACTCTCATATTTACTACTAGGATTACAAGAATTATTTTTAAATTCATTACAACAATCCACAATAGAAAAGTCAATCATACCAAATTCCGGACCACAAAATTTATGTTGAGGTATAGCATAAAACATATCAGTTTTAACCCTGCTGATTTTAGCATTAGATAAGTTTTCAAAGTAATAAATAAAACTTCCTTTAGCATCAACGCAATAATCTTCTTTTTCTAACCAACCTAAAGGATTATAACCACCAATAACAAGATCTTGACCTTTAATCTTAACAACAACAACGCAACTACCTTTATTGTCACATTTATCATGAAAAGCTTTTGCTGTATAACCATTGAGACTTGCCCTAAATAATAATTTCCATTGATATTTAAGTATGGTGGTTTCAGATATTCTACCATCTGATCTACTCATCCAAGTTTCAATCTTTAATGCATTATCATATCTAATTATTATGGAATCTATTTTCCTTGATAGCAAAATTCTAGTTGGTCCATTTGAAGTCCTATTTGTTGTCATGGGATCTAATTTTTTTTCCAAATCTGTTAAAAGGGAACCTGATAGGATTTTTTTATATGGTATGACATAATCATGAAACTCTTTATATTTCATATTAGAAAATCTTATAAAAGGGATCAATTCTTTTAAAGTTTCTCCTAATAATTTAAAATCTTTATCAGACCATTCATGAACATTCCCACATTCGTCCAAGTCATCATTATTATGAATTCCCCAATTTATAATATGATTCCAGATCTCGAATTCATTTAAAGATAGGTCATCTCTTTTAAGTATTGAGGATAAAATATGTTGTTCAATTAATGGAAAATTTTTTGATTCAAATACTCTTTGTGGATTAAGACAAACCATATTCATACATGTCTTGTATAATTTTTCACATGATTCATGATAATAACTTGTATGAAGCACATTAATCGCATTATTCTTTAACCAATTATCATGTTTTTCTATAAGATACTCTTGAAAATGCTCAATTAATTCATCCAATAATAATTCATCTGATGCAACTAACAAATCTAATATCTCGCTTGCTTTTTGTTCATTATAAATAATTTGTCCTGTATATATATACCTAGAAAGGTGTGAGAATGAGGTTAGAAATAATAATAATATATCTTTTACAAAAAGACGAAAATCGCAATATATAGGAGTTAGGTAAAATCGAAGGCAGATTATTAGGATTGATTGATTGATTGATTGATTGATTGATATGTATTGATTCTCACCCATCCCCCACGTATTGAGAAATGTCAAAAAAAAAGAAAAAGAAAAAAAATTAAAGATTTTTTACTTTAGGATATATCGAAATACATCTGGTGTAATATTTGGTTTTTTAAAAATGAAAAATCCATTCTCAAGTCTTTGAGCCCAATTTTTTGACAAAGCCGAATTAAAATATGCTGATCTTGCCCCAAGTATAAGTGAATGAGCTTTAAAACTTTTTATATGATCATTTTCTCCTATTTCAATAATCACGTCGTAATTTTCTGAATTTTCCAATAATTTCTCGAAGTCAGTTGCTAACCTTGAATATAACTCTGGCATTATTTCTTTTTTTTTTTTAAAAAAAAAAACAAAAAAAACAAAAGACAAGATAAAACAAAATAAAAAAAAAAAAAGAAATATTTATCAGCAAAGGTTGAAGTTGGTTTTTTTTACGTAATGTGACAACTGTTTTTGTTGATTTACATCTGATTTCATCATTCGATTTGTCAGGTGAATAGTGATACAAGGATAACAGTGATTCTCCTATTTTCTTATCAGTTAATACTGGTTACTGTCAGGTTTCCTTTATTAATATAGTATAGATCGACAAAATCAAAACCATAAACGTCTTCATTCGAATTCCTTTTATTGAACCCTAATCCGTTCTACCATCCGTATCTTGTTGTGCGCAGTTTGTGCCAATCAATTTTTTATTAAGAAATAATAAATAGAATAAAAGATATATAAAAACACTCATAAATATTAATACATGTTGATATAAATAAAATCATCTTAACCAAACATCAGTAGGTGCGAAATCACTAAAACTATCATGCAAATGTTTCTTAACCATGTAAACCTTTTGAATTAAACCAAAAATTCTAGCCATAACCCTCCCAAATTTATTAAAAGACTCCTCATTACCTAAAGAGACATTAACGGATCTAAACCCAACTTGCTTTAAAATACTGTTATTATTTTCAACATATTTGATGATAATTTCCAAATATTCAACTTTCATGCCATCATAAATATCTAAAGTGTGAAGGGGACATTTTAAAGCACTTAAAAATTGATCCAATACTTCATTGTTAAGGTTAATATCAAGACCAAGATGTTTTAAAGAGATGGGTAATGATTTAGCAAAGGTTTTAACGGGATACCTGAAATTCAAATTGGGAAAAAGTCTTCTACCATTATTATTTCTAGGGTAAATACTATATTTTCCTTCGGCCAATATCAAATGTTCAAGGTTATTTAACGAGAGTAAAGTTTGATTCAAGGCGGGAAATAATTCAGGTAATAATTCAATTGATAGATAATTTAAATTTGTACAATAAGATCCGATCAATTTAATAAGGTTTGCATCCACATCACCGATTGTTAATGAACGTAAATTATTATTGGATAATCGAAATAATACTTCAATTGATGAAATAAAGGTTTCTATACCAGCATATTCATCATATTCAAAACTATAAAAATGTAAATGTTTAATGTGAATGGGTGGGTATTGCATAATACGTTGTATCGCATGATTAACATCCGAAACGTAAAATTTATCCGTGAATTCCAGGGTTTCCAGGTTGTTACAGCCGCAGAGTACTTTTAATAAACCATCAAAATCATTTATGTGACATAATTTTAATGATCTCAATGAAGATACCACCCTCTCGCTTAGTAATGACGAATAAAATGGATTGTTCGGTAAGTCTACCCACTCTTGATTAAATGTGATTGATGAAATGTTTTTTTGTACCTTGATCAAATTTGCCGTTGCTTTACATAAGACCGGTAAATATATTACATCCAATAAATTTTCTGGTACCGCGTAAATCGTTAACTTTTTAATATTTTTACAATTTTCGGTTAACTTTTCAAAAATTCTCTTCATCACTTCAAAAAAGATTCTTTCCTTCCTTCCCATGTAAAGACCCACATAGCAATAGGTAAACTTTTCGATATTAGTTATCGCATTATTAAAATTCTCTAATAGTGTGATATCGTATAATTCCATTCGGATGTTACTCTCTAAAAGATCAACGTAATCATTGGTATCATCCTCTTCACTATCTTCGTCATCTAATTCATATTCATTCTCTTCCCTATCATTATAAGAGATGTTTAATGATTCGAATCCACGTGTACGTGAAAATATCAAATTTCCAATTGATTTAAATAGTAAGGTTGTTAATTCCAATTCAGGTTTTCTTTTTAATACCTTTCTCAACCAAATTCTAATAAAACTTAAAAATATGGAATAATTAAAACCTCGTATATATGAAGGGTAATCAAAAAATGGTTTGGTGGTTTTAAATCCATCCGGATTAAAATTATGTTGTTGTATTAGAAATTTTTTTGTTGGATTATCAAGGCAAAACCCGAGCGTTCGAATGAGTGATATTATTTTTGTATTTGGTGTGATCGTATTGGTATCAAAGGGTTTGGACCACAATAATGGTATGGTTAATTGGCACCATGATCTGCTGACCCTTGCGCAGGAATAAAGCGTTCGGACGTTATCCTCCAAATATGGTAATATTTCTGCTATACAATCGTTAGGTAACGTTGGTTTAATCTTTTGATTCTCATTCTTCTCCAAGGATGTGCTTGTTGAAATTTCCATGGTCAACAAAAATTAGTAAAGAAAAAGAGGGAGAACGATTAGGGATGAACTTTTTGGCAGGGTCATTTATTTGTAATTTCAATGAACGTTTATCACTAATATATAAAAGGTTAGTGTCCTTTCCAATGAACCTTTTTTTTATTCGAGTCAAAAAGAAAAACCCCAGTTTTGATATATATTTTTTTTCAAGCTTTAAATGTTTCATTTTGCCACATTAACCATAATTGGTATCGATGAGTATCGATAAAAAATTTTCCATGTAAACAACATTTGTTTGTGCGATGCAATGTGCAAGAACACAAACTAGGTGGATTTTTACACAAAGATTTTATGCTTTTTGAGGTAAATCGATCGTTATTGTAGACAAGGGCATCTACCTCCAAAATTCATTGAAGAAATTTTCTTGTAAAAAAGAAAACGAAAATTCGTCAATTTGAAAAATATATTATTAGTTAATAATTAACCCATTCTAAACACAATGTTTGAAATTTCATTGTATTTACTGCGCCGCATAGGATTTTCCTTTTATAAATATAATAACTCTAATTTAATAAAATCATATTTTAAAAATTATTATATTTTTATTTTTATTCATTTTATATATTTATTATAAAATGAGTTATTATTTTTATTATTATTATTATTAAAAAACAAAAAATTATATGATTAAACTATTGTAAAGTTTTAATCTTTAATTTTAACTTATGCTAATTAAGATAAAATAAATTTTTTTTTATACCTTTAAAACTTTTTTTCACCAAATTTTTCAAAAAATTCAGAACGATTTTTTGATTAAATATAAATAGATAAAATGAAAAAAATAAACTTGATGTTACAGTAGCAGCATTAGATAAAATAGAAAAATGAATTTGTAGTTTAACTGTTTAGAAAATTTTTTTGTTAATTTTTTTATTGTAATAATAATAACTAATGCATTTTTTATTAGAAACTGTATATTTTTTCTTCAAGAATTCTATCCAATTATTTACATTTGCTTAATTGTATTTTAGTCCACTTGTATACATACTTTTTTTTTACTTACCAATACAAAGTAAAAATTAATCATAATTGAATATATAATTATGCTAAGATTTAATTTTTCATTATACACTATATTGTTTAAAAGCTTAATTTCATTATCTGATATTATTATCATATTTTCTTTTTTTTTTGAGTAAAATATATACTTGATCTTGAAATGTTTTGCTCTGATTAAGCTACCTATAAAGAGTCTTTTTTGGATCAGCTTGTAATTTTATAAATATAAAAAATATATACTATTAATTATCATCAATGAATGCTAGAATCTCATCTTAAAAATAAAAAACCTCATTATAAAGCTGTTTTATTTTAACACAATAACCTTTTTTACCTTACTAATATACGAAATATCTTCCATAGGCAGAAGTTACCCCTTAGAGAATGTGCTTACAAAAAAATTTTTATTATATTTAATTTAATAGGTAACAAAAAAAGAGCAAATCCATTTTCAATCTAGAAATTTATCGGAGAAATTGGAATCGAGAAGAAAATGAATATTATTATTTATATTTGTTTCTTTATAGCATAACCGTTTATAAGAAGCATGAATAATATTTTTTAAATCATGATCAAACTTCTCGTTATCATCTATGACTGAGACATAACAATAATATCAAAATACATTTTAGAAAAGAATAGCCTAAAGGCCATATGGGGCCTTTGCAATAGAAAGGGGGAAACAACCGGAAAAATCAAAAGTGAGTTAATGCTAAATTTAAACATATTTTAGCATAAAAATCATATTTGGCATATAAAGTAAAATTAATTTTTTCCGGCAGTTTCCCCCTTTCTATTGCAAAGGCCCCATATGTTTAAAATTGGACTGTTTGATATATATTTTTAATGCTTTCAAAATGAAATGTTTCAATCTTTTAAATACATAAATTTAATAAAGTTTTAGTTGGCGGAAGTGATAGATGCTTCTGCTTCTTTTATAAATTCTATTCCTCAATTGCATATATAAAAGGTTTCATTACAAAGTTTTTTTTTTAAAAAAAGACCAACGTTAAATGTAGACCTTGCAAAAAATGATTAATATCTAAACTGATCACTAAACCAACTAAGCAAAAATACAATAAAAAGAAAAACTGTTATAAAAGAGCCATTTTTCAAGAATCAAGAAACTAATAAATTAAGGAGTTAACAATTATTTTAGTTTAATAGACTTTATATTGAAAATGATACATTTTATAAATTATAAAGTCATAATACTGGCTAAAGATGGTACAGCAATTGATTTCAAATTTACAAAATGTTGCAACATAAGCTAAAATTAGTTGCAACATATGTTGCAACATTATAAGTTGCAACATATATAGGTTAAAACTAATTACAACATAAGTTGCAACATTAAAAATTGCAACATATTAATTACATTTCCCATCTTTAATACTAGCTAATAAATCTGGCTACCATTTTTTTGCTATTACTATTACATGTAACAAATTTAATGAAAAGCATATGCATACATTTATTTTTTGCTTAGCGTTATTACCTTTTATTATTAAAACGTATTTTTGATATATTATTCTTAATAGCATAAATCTGTAAATACATTTTTTTAAAAAAAAAATTCATATTGGTTTAGATTAAAAACTATCTACTTTCTATATTACAAGAAAATGTGACAAAATAAATGATCAACATGTTTCACTAAATTGATCTACTAAATAAATTACACAAATAATTACACAGAATTTGATCTACTGGATGTAATATTGTAAATGATAAATCAAGAATATTAAACATTTTTTTATATAATTGATATATTTAATTTATTAAATATAGATACTTTAGTCAAAATAATTTTTTTTTTAATTGTTAACAATGCAGTCTAGCCGCAGTACTTTATTTTGTATTGAAAATTTGAAGGCAAAACCTAAAAAAAATACTAAAATACGCAACTTACCCCTGTGGTTCTATTTCAAACTCATTTAAGTCAACTGATCACTGACACCCCTCAAAGGGGGTAAAAATAAAGCGTCAGAAAACATCTAATTTCTAAATGTCTGTCGAATCCTAACTTCTCTCAAAAGAAAATTCTAACACTAAAAACAACACCTGAAGTAGGAAATTTGCACAAATAGAAATTTACAAATAACTAAACATGACTCTATAAAAAACCTAAATATCCAGTTAATTCTAGATATAACGACTACTCGACCAAAGAGAATGCGTCCCAAGAAAAGTCTAAACAGAGACTTTTCATACTTATAGATTCATAAGTACAGAAAAAATATCACATAGAATTCACTACGAAAATCTACAAAAAATCAGCAGGGCAGAACCTATACCCTTTACCTGGTTAGCCAGAGAGGCATGGATCTAGACGAAGTAAACTTACACTAAGTAAGGACTTGACAATAAAGGCTTCCTATTGCTCTATTTCAAACCTGTTTGAGCCAACAAAAATACCAGACCAAATGGTAGCTATCATCACTCCAAATAGGCGACGTCTGAAGATACCAAAGTAGATATAATACTGAATTTGCACGTGATTTTCGATGATAGAGGATCTGCAGAAGGCAGAGGCCAATCAAAAGAGAGTATATTGTTTAGAAAGGAAAAAAGAATTATTACATGAGATTTGTTTATCCAAAATATGTCGATCATGATTGTCAGTTCGAATACCCCTTGATGCATACTTTTTGTAGGCAAAAAAGAAAAAGAGAAAAAAATGGAAAAATTTTTTTAAAAAGAGATGAAGAAAAAATATTTTAACAAAAAATAACACGGTTTAGACTATTTCAAAAAAATTTATATGGAGGGGGGTGTGGAGAACAAAGAGAGGAATATTTTTGAAAGGTGGGATTTTTTGTTTTGTTAGCAGATTAAGCCGCAGCTGCCGTTAAACGGTCACTTTTTTTTTAAAGTAAAAATTCTTGGAAAAAATCCAATGAGGAGAAAGAGTTTCTACTTTAGTCAAAATAATTTTTTTTAATTGTTAACGATGCAGTCTAGCTGCAGTATTTTATTTGTATTGTAAATTAAAGAAAATAAATCTAAAAAAAATACCAAAATACGCAACTTACCCCTGTGGTTCTATTTCAAACTCGTTTGAGTCGACTGATCACTGCCACTTCCCGAAGGGGGTGGAAATAAAGTGTCAGAAAACATCTAATTTCTAAACGTCTGTCGAACCCTAACTTCCCTCAAAAGAAAATTCTAACACTAAAAATAACACCCGAAGTAGGGAATTGGCACAAATAGAA